ATGTGTCACCGCCACAATATCCGATTGTCTATTAGGGGTGAGTATACTGTGTTGGTGTCTTCGCTGTTCTACTTTGTGGCTGTGATATATGGCCATTGAAGGTGGAAGACATGAGAAGGCTTCAGGTGTTTGACAACCGTTGCCTTCGTAGGATAGACTGTGTTTTGTGGTGTCACCACGTGAGTAACGCAGAAGTCAAGTATAGAGTTTTAGGCAGGAGAGGTAAGATAGTTCATACAGTTGTCAACCTTGATCGACTGAGATGGCTGGCTATGACATGTGTTACTCATGTCTAGTCACTGTCTACCTCACAGCACACTGTTGGTAGAAATAGGTTAAGGCTGGAAGAAGGCTCCGGGTGCCCAGACTGGAACATGACATCAATGTATGAAGTCCTTGACTGTTGGGTTGAGCCATGTAGGGCGTTAGAGACTAGCCGGTTGGGGTCCGCGGTACAAGATAAACCAGTAGTTGGATACTGTCGGTGATAAGGTGTGGTGGTATGTGGTGTGGCAACTTGGACCGTTACGCGATTATGCTTGGTCCTATGTTGATCTTGATGATGAAATGTTAGTATGAGTTGTGTTAAGTACTATGTATACACAGAAGGCTGATGGGATGAAGCCTATCAATGTGCATAACAACAATACTAGGAGTATACCACGTTAGTTTTTATCAGACTTGGATTTGTACACTTCTAATGCTGATGTATAAGAACATTTATGTGTAGGTTAACTATCAGATACATTCTTTGTAGTCTGTATTCCTGTCACTTATAAATATAACATCTCCAATTAGCCTAGATATTAAGGCAGAAAAAGTGAAACACATTTGTCGATTGTTGTTTTGTTTTGCAAAGATGAAATATACCTGACACTGAAATACATTTCACGTCATCATATCACTTCTTCTACTAGCTACATTTTTAAACTTGATTTATAGACTTTGGTTAGTGTTAAAGCCCTTTTGGGTAACAATAAGTTTATTGTATTTCACCTTTAAATCGATACCGTTAGACTTGAAATATTCGTCAGTTATCGCGATTGTAAAATTTTACCATCGACTGAAGTAGCTGAGATAAGTATTACGTGTGTCTAGTCACCGTCTACTAAGTCAGTCAATGCTAGATGAAATACATTCAGGTTGAAAAAGTGTTAAAGGTGGTCAGACCAATATATAACTGGAAATCAATCTAATCATCATATCACATTTCATCCCCTCCGTTTTTTCTTCACATGACGTTTTGCATCATTTATGGCGCCGATCAACGACATTAAACGAATGCCTTACTGCGCTGCAGTTCGTTTTTTCCCGCAATACAGTTGTAAGATATATGTGTCGGAAGTTGAAGAACTGAATTAATCATAAATGTCTTCTTAGCATTGCTGATATATCATGGAATCACCGTGTTGAGGTCAGGTGAAGAGTTCTAGAGAAAGTCAGTTACTAAGATTATGGGCCTTCATAAATTAGGTTGGCTTGACTATATTATTATTATTATTATTAGTCCCTTGGGTTCCTAGTGGAACATAGGGCTTCAGTAGCACGCCTCCAGTGACCTCTGTTCTCTGAGATCTTTTGAACCTGGTCCCACGACAGCCCAGAAGCTCTCATTTCCTGCTCGCACGACCTCCTCCATGTCACCCTCGGACGTCCAACTCGTCGCTTCCCATGGGGATTCCACTCGAGGGCCTGACGCGTGATGTCCTCCGTCGGCCTTCTCAGTGCATGGCCAATCCATCTCCACTTCTTCCTGCATATTTGTTGCGTGATAGGTTCTTGGTTGGTTCGTTCCCAGAGTTCCTTGTTGCTTATTTTTTCTGGCCATCTGATCTTCAGCAGCGAGCGTAAGCAGTTGTTGATGAATGTCTGTAGTTTATTGGAAATACCTTTCGTGACGCGCCAAGTCTCTGAGCCATACAAGAGCACTGACTTGACGTTGGTGTTGAAAATCCGTATCTTGTTCCGCATGCTGAGTGCAGAAGATCTCCACACTGGTTTCAGGCTAATGAACGCCTGTCTTGCTTTTCCGATTCTGACTTTGACGTCCTCGTCCGTCCCGCCTGTAGTTGAAACAGTGCTTCCTAGATAAGTGAAGGAGGTTACTTCCTTTAAGTTTCTCCCGTTGACGGTGATTGGAGTTTGTTGTTGTTGTTGTTGATGGTGGTGGTGCGGTATCTTCATCACTTCTGTCTTCTCTATATTCACCTGAAGTCCCGTCTTCGCTGCCTCTTCTATCAACTTGTTAGTTTTTGCCTGCAGATCTTCAAGTTTATGTGACATTAGGCATAAGTCATCGGCGAAATCCAAGTCTTCTAGGTTCTTTTCCGTCGTCCAGTGTATCCCCCTCTTCTCGCTGCCTACTGTTTGCTGCATGATCCAGTCCACCACAATCAAGAATATCATGGGGGATAGTAGGCAACCTTGTTTCACTCCTGTCTTCACTTCAAAGGCATCACTGAGCTTCCCATTGTGGATTACTTGGCATGTAGCATCTTCATATAGTTGTTGAATGAGGCGGATAAAGGTTTGCGGTACTCCGTAGTATTGAAGCAGTTTCCAAATTACTTCTCGGTCGACGCTGTCAAAGGCCTTCTCAAAGTCGATGAAGTTGAGGTGGAGAGGTGATTGCCATTCTATGCTCTGTTCTATGATGATACGAAGCGTTGCAATTTGGTCTGCACATGATTTGTACTTCCTGAAGCCTGCCTGTTCCGGTCGTAGTTTTGAATCCAGTGCATCCCTTAGCCTCTCCAGGATGATGCGGCTTAATATTTTACTTGGGGTGGACAGGAGAGTGATTCCGCGCCAGTTCTTGCAAGCACTGAGGTCTCCCTTCTTCGGCAGTTTGACAAGGTAACCCTTCTTCCAATCGTCAGGTACCTTCTCTTCCTTCCACACCTTCTGCAATAGTGGTGTGAGCATGGCCGCTGTTGTCTCTGCATCTGTTTTCAGTGCTTCTGGCGGTATTCCATCTGGTCCTGCTGCTTTCCCGCATTTCAGTAGCTTTATGGCGTTCAGGACTTCCATTTTCGTTGGGGGATTAATGTTCACTTGTAGTTCAGCGGCTGCAGGTGGTATTTCTGGACGAAGTGCAGGTGGTGGTCGATTCAAGAGCTTCTTGAAGTGGTCGGCCCATCGTTTCCTCTGTTTCTCTTCTTTCGTAATTAAATTTCCTTCTTCATCTTTTATTGGTTTCATCTGTGTTGGTCTCTTCCCTGATAGCAACCTGGTTATTTGATACAATGTCGTCAGGTCTCTCTTACCTGCAGCCTGTTCTGCTTCACTTGCCAGTGTTTCGTAGAAGTGTCTTTTGTCTTTGCGTGCACTCTTCTTCACTTCTTTGTCCAGTGTTTTATACATTGTGCTCAGTTCCTCTTGTCGTTGAGCATCCTTGCACTGGTTTATCTTCTGCTTCACCATCCTCCTCTCCTCTATCAGCTTCCAGGTATCCGTCGAGATCCATTCCTTGTCTTCTTTCTTCTTCCTTCCTAATACTGTTGTGCAGGTTTCTTTCCACATAGCTTTCAAAGACTTCCAGTGTTCTTCCACACAGGTTTCTTCAGGGATGTCCCTCGATGTCTCCCATTTTGTCTTGATGGCTGCCTTGAAGATCTCCTTTGTAGTTTCATCCTTCAGTTTCCGAGTGTTGTACTTGAATTGAGGTCTATCACCAGCTTCCTTGAAGGCTTTTAACTTGATTTGGAAGGTTCCTTGCACTAGGTAGTGGTCTGAACCTACATCTGCTCCTCTTCTTGACCTTGTGTTAAGTAGACTGCGTCTCCATTTTCTTGAGATTGAGATAAAGTCGATTTGATTTTTAGTGTGTCCATCTGGTGAAATCCATGTCGCTTTGTGGATATCTTTGTGCCTGAACACACTGCCTCCAATCACCAAATCGTTGAATGCGCAGAATTCTGCAAACAATTCTCCATTCTCATTCATTTCACCTAGTGCCTCTCGACCCATGGTTAGTTCTCTTCCCGTGTTGTCCCCTCCCAGTTTGGCATTCATGTCGCCCATCAGAATTTTGATATCGCCAACTGACGTCTTGTCCAGTGTTGATTGAAGTTGTCTGTAGAAATCCTCCTTTTTCTCTTGCTCTGCATTATTTGTAGGTGCATAACATTGTATGATTGTGACCTTTCTTCCTTTTGAGTTGAATCTTGCTGTCATGATCCTGGAGGAGATTGGTTCCCACTGCATGAGAGCCTTCGATGCTCTTGAGGACATCATGATAGCCACTCCCTCAGTGTGCTCGTGGTTGGCGTCTGGGTGACCGGAGTAGATTATTGATTCTCCAGTTGACAGTTTGGAGAGTCCACTCCCATTCCATCTGCTTTCGCAAATCCCAAGCACTTCGATGTTATACCTTCTCATCTCCTTTGCAATCTGGGCTGCCTTACTGGGTTCAAACATCGTGCGGACATTCCATGTCCCCACGTTTACTTTCGCTTTCATCGAGAAGAAGACACATCGGCCAATTGGCTTCCCGAAGGCTTTCACCAACTGGCGTCATTTCGCCTCTCCGATTCCAGCGGGGAATAAGTTTGTTTTCATTTTTTATATTTTGTTTGTGCTTTGAAGTTTCTTTAGCGGTTAGATTTGTTTTACGGGGTAGGGTTGCTAGCCCTATGCCCAACCTTCCCTCTTTACCCGGGCTTAGGACCGGCTAGTAACTAGTAAACTAGTTAACCAGGCGAGGTTAACTTGACTATATGCCAAACCATAATTGCCTACCTCAACTTACTCGATGCGTTAACAGAAGTTGGATTTGACTGGAAGAATCCCTAAGGTGGCCAGACCAAGATGTCACACCAGTCCATGAAGACTCTGACTGTTGGTCTGAGCTCTGTTCAGAGGTGTAAACTACCTGGTTGGAGTTCTGAGATTGTAGAAATCAGTGGTTTAGGATTTTTGGGGATATAGCTGGAAATCGGTCACGATGGTGGTGCAGATGTATTCACTCTTCGATGTCTTCTAAAGCTGATATACTCACGGTAACCTTCTAACTGTTCCCCCCCCCCTCCCCTCCATACACCTTTGTCTACTTTGATATCACACTTGCTGCATTTACCTGTTCTTCATGCACTACTAAGAAGTATGACAACATAAAACTGATCCACTTTTGTACGAGGTTCTACGTTGATTTCGCGTGTTTGTCTAAGAGTATTGTCACGTCAAATGTTGATTTTATCTGAGAAATAAGCAAGAACCAACAAATTTCAGAAAAAAAAACTAGTACATACTGAAATTATTCTTATCAAAAGTTATCGATTGGAGAAAGTAAACTCTAAACACTATTGATTATTTGACAATGTGTAAAAAAGAACTGCATACTTCATACTCGTGACAGTATTTCTTACGATCTAGTCGTCAAACCTTTTAGTTTGTGTGCTCATATAGTCTAAAGCGTTAAGATTACTCATGTTATCTGATTTATTTATGAAACTGGTAACTTCTCAATAGTAGTAAAGCTTTTATGGAGACTATTTCTTATATTCTGTATACAAGCGGTTCCATATGCGTAGTGACTTTTAAGTATAACATTAACGAGGAATATTCTTTTCAATAAGTTCTGTCGCATCATCAAGTGTCTAAAAGTAAAAAGATGCAATTGTCCAGTGTAAAATGACAGACCAAGTTTAAGGTGAGTACATTTCTGAAATGGAATGAGAGTTAGGGACTATAATGTTGACATCGATACACAGACAACAACTGAAGGAAGATAGTAGTTACTTTTAGTTTGTCGAAGGTCAAAGAAAGGAAGGAAGGAAGGAATAACCTGTGAACATGTTCTTTTTAAATGAAACGTTTGGCTTTGGTCAGTCTTATTGCGATAGCCTTAGTCATGTTGAGGAGGCGTTGGCGAGTTACACACGGTGTTGGTTTTTGTACACACAATGTGCCACATTAAAAGCTTTTATTAACATCGACGTGTTACATATACCTAACCATCATCTGCCTTATCGCTTAATGCTAGTTGAAGTAGGTTCAGGCTGGAAAAAGGCTCCGAGTGGCCAGAGTGAAACATGGTATCAATGTATGAAATCCTTGACTGTTGATTTGACCCATGTAGGGTGACGCAAACTATTCGGTTGGGGTCCGCGAAACAAGAGAAACCAGTGGTTTTTGAAGACTCCAGGTGGTATTGCGGCTTATAATCAATATGTCAGTGGCGCATATGTTTCTCCCCATACATTATCTTTATCTTAACCATTATACTTAATCTCATGATACTGTGAATTGTGGCGACTTGAAATGATTCACTTTTTTTTTGCCATGCTCTCCTTGGATTTATCTCTCTGAAGTTTCATGTGTTACCTTTTTGTAATCACAAACATATATGATGGCTTATACACTTGCAGTCGATATGATGTTCTAAAGTTAACTTATGTTAGTTGGTTGGATGCAATCGGCAGGAAGCCGGGCTTGTTGGCACTTGTCAGCGAAGCATATCTGCAACCTCGACGGAGGATCATTTGTAAATTATGCTTGCAGACTGCATAATTAATGTTATGGTTCATTAAAATTGAGAAGGTGATTCAGCCATCTATTTAAATTACTAACAGAGTTTCAACTGGAGACTTAACCAGCTAAACTAGTAGACCGATATGGGCAATTTGTTTTTTTTTTTAACTACTTATATCAATTTAATAGTAGTATATTTTGTTCGTGATAATTTTGGTGTATTGCCTGGGTGGTAATCATGTTGACAATATAGTTAGATCGTTTAAAAAAATGTATTCATCAACCTTGAGAAATCTAAGGAAAGGTTGTGCGATTCACTTACCTAAGCCTCCGAATCGACAATCCGTGTTTCAGTGTACCGTCTCATCAACACAAAAGAAATTCCAAATTAGATTTGTTTGTTTGATTTATAACACACCGTGATAGAGTATTGTTTACTTGATGACATTTAGAGTACAAATTGTTCTTCATGATCATATCAAAGTAGTGATACAATTTTGAGCGATAATTTACGCTCAAAATGTCATCGAATACAAATAAAATCAACGTGGAACTCCGTACAGAAGTGCTACTGGTTCAAGTTACCACACTTCATAGTATCTTGCACGGAAGATATTGATGAAAGCAAACTGATACCAAAGTAGACTAAAATATAAGGGTGAAGCAACAACTTAAAGATGAAGACATTCAAGCTTTAAGAGATATCAAAACAGTGAATAAATTTGGATCATTGTGACCAATTTTCAGCCATTTCGCCAAGGATTACCAACCATTGATTCTTTTGGTCTCGAGGACCTAAGCGTAGCAGTCTACACCTCTCTAAACGACTCAGACCAGCAGTCATAAACTTTAATTGACTGGTTCCACTTCTTGGTTTGACTGTCCTGATTGTATGGCCAGATTGTATGATTTCCACTTACCGCACCCACCATTCTCGCGGAATTTTAGTAAAGATATGTAAAGGTCAAACTTAATTCCAGTTCCATGAATTATGTAGGTATTTCAATATAACGTGTTTCAGTTTAAATTATTGGCAAAAGTTTCATGAGGAACAATTCATTGTGTAGACGAGAATTATAATGTCTTATCGTAGTTTGAAATCACTGACTTGACACTCATGTTACGTATTCCCAGTCGCCGATTACCTCGTCACACAATGTTGGCTGAAGTAGGTCCAGGCTAGGAAAAGACCCGAGGCGACCAGACCAAAACATAGTATCAATGCATGAAGTGTTTGACTGTTGGTTTGAGCCATTTGGGGCGATGCAGACTGGATGGTTGGTGTCGGCGGGACACGAGAAGTCAGTGGTTGGAGACTCCTGGTGATATGTCTAAGAACCGATATGAATGGTACAGATGTACACACATATTATTGTCATCTTAACGACGCTATACTGAATCTCACTATTTCCTCATTCTTCATTTCTATCTCTTCGTATTTTACATTGCTTCTGGTTGAATTTTATTCATCTTCAACTTCACTACCTTTTTCTTACTTGATGTACTGATATGAGGTGTGGCAACTCGAACCGTTACGCAGTAATGCCTGGTCGTATGTTGATATTGATGATGAATCCTTTTCCTTGATAAATGTAAACTAGTCAGAAGCAACAGCTGTATCAGAATAGCTAATATGGATCCATTTTATTTCATGGTTTCTCATCAGCTGTGTTTATAACCTAAATTAATCTTAGCTCCAATTTACTACATATGTACATACTTGAATCATTATGATAGAAAATTGTCGGCTTGAAATCAAGAATAGCATCCGTGTGATGTAATCAACAACACATGAATTCAGTGAATAAATAAGTATGCAAGAAATAATAATGTTTGCCAATCGAAAGAATACATGAATATTCCATAACTTAAATAAGATGAAAGAGGGAGATGAATGTATTCAGCCTATTGAGAAAGATTACTTCAGATGTATATAAGTTGGCGTTAGAATTGTTTATGGATGATGGTTGAACATGAAATGAAAATTTGGACCTCTCTAGGAGTTGAACCAGCGACTTCTGGAGACCTTGATGTTACACCGTGAAAGCAAGTCATGTTAGTGGAGAGGTACATTTTCAAAATGGAGTTAAGATCTAGGGATTGTAAGAAAATCAATTTATCTTTATCTTGTAAATTAGTCAATATTGAGATGATGGTGATGAACAGAAAGATGATGAATAAAACGACAGGAGTGACCTTTAGTTAGCTCAAGGCCAAGTGAAAAGAAATGCTTAGACATGTTCTTTCTGAATGTGGAGTTCAGCCTTGACCACTATGTTGATCAGGCTGTGGTGAGCTACATGTAGTGTCGTTTTGGTAACACGATGAATGATGGTAAAAGCTTTATTAGCATCAATGTGGTACCCTTTGTCGACTAGATGCGCTAGGACTGAACTTTTCACTACTCTAACTTAACCCTTTCCAAACCAAGCTGGTAAACGCCCTCGTATTCACAGACGCACCAGCCTAATCGCACGCTTCATGCAACTAATACCACAGAAACAGTTAAATTGACATATAAAAGATGAAGAGCTAAGATTAGGTTGACTATCGTTTAGTCTCGGATTGAACATTGACTGCCTGTTGAATGATATACAAAGCTGACCTGAATGATATACATCCTATTGACACTGATCTAGCTAGACATTTTGATAGAATGTCACTTGCAACATCTCCCTTGAATTGTAAGCACAGAAACAAAGACTTCTTCCCCACTGTCATCACTTCTCATTAAGGATTAATGTAGTTGATGTTAGTTTTGATAAACTTGTCCGGATATCTGTTCTCACTTACTTCTTGGAACAAATCGATTTTCGTCTAAATAGTAGCCAGCTGATTATATAATACACTTGTATTTGATCGGTAGGAAGCTGAGAAAGTGGATATACTGTGCGTTAGATATTAGTTTTCTATATAATGCTGCTTCTCAATATATAACCAGCATATTTATGCCTTGTCATTATCATATGAATAAAGTGTGTGTGTGTGTATAGGAGTCATTGATTTCATTTTTGTATGTAAAATGAATTGATGGATTGACGTTGTTGAAATGGTTCAGAATAGAATTGATATATATGGATCTATGAAAGAATAAAAAAAAGTGTCATCCATATATGGAGAGTAGAATTGTATATTGTTAAGATTGTGAACAGCTGATGAGAAAGTGCGAAATGAAATGGATTGATGGTATTCACCTAAAGTTGTTGTTTTTGATTGGTGTAAATGGCAGAGAAAGTTAATGTGAACAATATTGTAACAATGTGATTGCATGTGTCAAGTGAATTGATATTGAATTGAAGAATGAATGAATGAATGAGTGAGGAACTAAAAGAATTGGGATAGTATGGTGGATTGGTGTATAAAGAAAGGTGAAACGAAACAGAAAGGGTGACACAATTCAGCTGAATCTTGGTAATTAAGCATCAGTTAATACTTACCTACGCAGCATCATTTCAACTACAGGTGACAGCACAGGCACACACGAGGACGTCAAATCCAGCCACGATCGGAAACACAGCAAGAAAGGCCTTCCTTCATTAACCTGAAATCAGTGTGGAGATCTACTGCACTGCACTGCACTGCACTGCACCGCACCGCACCGCACCGCACCGCACTGCACCGCACTCAGCATAAAGCGTGAACAACATCCGGATTTTGAGCACGAATGTCAGTCAAGTCAGTCAGTGCTTCTATGTGATGGTTGAGAGACTTGGAGTGTCACGAAAGGCATTTCCAACAAACTACAGATATTCATCAACAACTGCCGCCTACGCTGTTTCCTCACTCAAGCTCAGATGGCCAGAATAATAAGAATAAACAACAAGGAGTTGTGGGGACGAACTAACCAAGAAGCTATGACTCAATAAATATGCAGTGTAAGGAAGTGGAGATGAATTGGGCATGCAGTGAGGTGACTATTTGGGGATATCACGTACGAGGCTGGGTGGTCGAGTGGAATGGAGATGGGAAACGATGAGTTGGTTGTCCGAGGTGAAGGTGATATGGAGGATGTCATGTGAGGAAGAACTGAGAGGTTGTGGGTTGTTGTGGAGGCAGGTTTGAAAGTTTTCAGAGAAGAGAGTGGAATGGAGACGTGCTGGTGAAGCCGTATGTTCCACTAGAAACCCAAGGGACAAATTATGATAAAATAATAATGTTTTACACTAATGTCGTGTTTCATGTCTATTGATGTCCTAATCTGATGTGTTTCATGATCATTTTTTTCAGTAGTTTTATTGATTTTATTTCAACTGGTTAATTGTATTCAGTTGTTTCATGTAATTTCTTACAGGTCATACCATCGAGAAAACGAAAAACATTTATTTTATTTTACTTTTTCCTCTCCCTCCAATTCTCTTCCCCCCCCCCTTACCCATGCATCCCCTATCCCCTGTACACTGTTCATATTTAGTATGTTTCCGCCTTTGCTGTATCTAGTATGTCGTCGAATGCAAATCGGATTGGTAAACCATTCAATCCCCTGTTAGGTGAAACATATGAATTACATTATAACAATTTTGTATTTGTTGCTGAACAAGTGAGTTGATTTATTTTTCATTTATTTTATAAGCAAGAATGTTTAATTGTTTTCATGAAGAATGATTTCGCTGTGTTCCTCTCATTAATGGTTGTGTTGGGTTACAAACTGACTGTATTCTTAGTTTTCTGAAAAGAAACAATATACTGTCTATAAAGGGATACACGCTTCATCTTATTGCTTACTGAAGCTGGTGTGCCTAAAGGTGCTGTACTTTCTCCGTTTCTCTCCTCATTCCTTTGGCACAATTTACCTGATTCTGTTGAAACACATTTTATTAAGTATGCTGATAACTTGATGGTGTCTGTTCCAGTCAACTGTCTCACTTAGATTGCTGTGAATTAAATGGATTGTTGTCGGTAGTTGACCAATGAATGAGCTGTCTGTGAAATGGTGTGGAAGTTAGTAAAATCCTTGTGTAAATGTGAGACTGTTAATTTAAGCCTTCGGTGTAAATAAGATGGAGTTGTGTGACCTGGTTAAGTTTGATGACATGTGTTGGAGTAATGATGGTATTTGTGTAGAAAGTGAATTGAGTGTTACGTATGTTGGATTGAGTTTACGTGTCTGATATGTTGTTGACTTTCAAGAATTGATTCGTACATTTTACCTATTCTTGTCTATTGTTCCCTGTTGATGTTTGCTGGTTTGGTGGAGAGGGACTATATGTTATATTGTGTAGGTGTTTGAGAGTGAAGCCATCATCGGGTAGCGTGAGTGGTATGCCTCTGATCGAACTGATTAACACACTGTGGTTGATAGAGATTTAAATTGCAGGAAACAACTAGGTATTGTCATTTTAACTGACACTGAGTATCCAGTTGATTCAGAGGTCTCTCTGCTTGTATTTCTTGTCAGGTAGGATAATAAGAAAGTACATAAGACTGTGTACGGTGATGCAGGTGAGTAGGAGAATTCGACTTTACCTTACGTGGGATGCATATTATGTGAGGTGAAAAGTGTTTTAGATGTTATAATAAAGGAAGATATACATGTGCATATACTACTTTGTTGTTGTTGTTGTTATTGTAATATATGATGCTGAGAATTCCGAATTGGAGCACAAATTGTTTGGAATAAAGTGAATAACAATAATGATAATGATAATAGTATTGATTGGTGAAATGCATGAATTTATGAATACCTTCAAGAGAGTATATTGTTTTGTTGTAGGATATGTAAAGGAAGCCTTGATCAACTTAAGTTTTCTGCTTATTGGTACTACATTTTACCTCATTGGAATTTTACAAATATATTTCTTGTATTAACCGTCATGGTTATCAATTTATGTTTATTGTTGACTTGTTTGATTGATACTGGATGGTGATTGAATGCGAAATAGAGATTTTTTTTGTCTGCAGCGGGATTCGGACCGGCATCCACTAGTTTTTCGGTCTGGTGTTATATCAATGGAACTATGAGACGTGACTTCTGACGAGATTTTTATTTCACTTCAATCATCAAGCGGTTGGCTAGATGAATAGCATGTGAATTCGTGACGCGTTACTAGTGGTTGATCGTTTCTGCTGACACTGACTGCCCGCGGTCAGGACTTCTCATACTAATCCAATTAGATAGAGACAACGAGAGGATCATATTGACTATGTGAGTGAGATAGCCGTGAGGTAGTATTCATTATGAAGTGACATCATTTGGAGGAACTGTTGAAAATCTGGAAGCACTAGAAAGCTGTTTCGTTCTGATGTGCGACTTCTCAGCATTATGCATTCAAGTCTTGGCTAAAGATCGAGCTCTTCACCTTCAGGTTTCACGGCGAACGTGTTAACCATTCAGCCATATGGTCCGAATTCAATGGTTTACAGTTTTCAATTCGCAATATGGTACGACTATCACCCATGATCTTCACTTGGCATCCGCTTCTCTTCCGACTGGTTGACCAACCCCACAGCTCACAGCTTCTCACAAGAGCGTTCTGATATCCCCCTCTACAGTGCGTACCCATGATCTCACCCCGTCAAGCATCGAACTCAGAACCTTCAGGTTCCGTGACCAGTACGTTACTACTGAACCAGTTGGCCGAAATTCAATCGTCTATATTTCCTACTTTGGTCAGTTCACGATTTGCTGTGACCTACCATCCAATGTGATCTTAGAGTATTTGTTCTCGCGTTCACCACCTTTTGTCTACGGGGGCACAACTTGTCATTAGAAGTTTAGCAATCATCTCCTGAAGTTAGTTACCAAATGTGCACCTCAACAATTATATTTTGGGGTTTTTAGGGACTAAATGGTTTTCAAGTTGTTATTTATCATGAACTGACATCAGTTGGAGGAACATTGAAAACCTGGGAGCACATTATCAGATAGCTGTTTCGTCCTAGTATCGTACTCATCAGTAGTAGTCACTTGCAATTTGACTAGAGATCTAATTCAAAAGCTTTATTGAGATGAATGGGGATTTTCTAATTTAGAAGTAGTATTCATCTTGGACTGAAATCAGTTAGGGAACGATTGAATTTCTGGGAGTACTGGACAGCTGTTTCGTCCAACTAGTATGGGACTCCTCAGCAGTACGCACCCATGACCCGGCTAGGGATCGAACTCAGGACCTTCGTTTTTCACGGCGAACGCGTTAAGCATTCAGCCCTACTGGGTCGGTATTCAGTGATTCACAATTTCCAACTTATATCAATTCACGACACAGCGTGACTATCACCCATAGATCACTGTATAGTTCTTTTAAGTGACTTGCTTCCAGATGGATATCATGAAGCTTTAATGAGAAGCCGTGACCTGTGGGGTCAACTAGTCAGGAGTGGAGTGGATGCTAACTGAAGACTTTGGGTGATAGTCGCACCATATCGCGAATTGGAAACTGTATACCATTGAACTCGGATCACTTGGCTGAGTGGTTAACACGTTCGCCGTGAAACCTGAAGGTTCTGGGTCGTGGGTGCGTACTGCTGAGGAGTCCTATACTGGGACGAAACAGCTGTCCAATACTCCCAGATTTTCAATGGTTCCCCCAACTGATATCATTCTATGATGAATACTACCTGTAAATCAAAAACTTTAGTTTTCACAGTGATAAACACGTTAATCACTCAATCATTGAGATAATTGTGGTTAGGGAAACTTTTTCATATGAATCTTTTCATTTCTATTATTTAAAGGTATCACATCATCCACCGATAACAGCTTTTCATGTTGAATCAGAAAATTATCATCTGAGAGCTACTGTACAATTTAAAATACGTTTTTGGGGTAAATCTATCGATGTTCAACCAAAAGGATTAGTTACATTAATGTTATACGATTATAATGAGGCATATACATGGCAAAATGTTAATTTAACTTTACACAATATATTAATGGGTAAAATATGGATTGAACAAGTATGTTAACTTTTTAATTATGTACAGTAATTATGGATAGTGGTTAGAAGTGGAATCCAGGATGGGCATTTCGTCCTATTTCGGAATCACCAATCTGCTGGATCCACCTACCTTCCAGTGAGTGATGTTATTCCTACCGGGATTCGAACCACGAAGCGATCGCTTTAAACTCAAGAGCGTTACCCACTACACTACCGAGCCACTATAGCCACTTCTTGTGCAATGGGTATAGTTTTAGTGTTATTGCTTATATTATAGCCTCGTTGATTGGACTGAACTGATCGGCCTCGGTTGGCATACGGGCTCCTATGCGAATGCCTCTATATTGCCTGTGTTTTGATTGTATATACTAATGATGGATAGTGGCTAGCAGTGGAATTCAGGATGAGAATTTCATCCTATTTGTAACTCTTAATACAAGCGATTACATCATGTTAACTTTTGTTGATTTGTTATAATATTCAGATATTTTATGTTATGAGTCGGCGGCCTAGTTGAACCTTGGGCTACCAAATGTATCCATTGAACATTTTCCACTGAATTCTTTCCTTTCACTTTGTTTTAATCATTTAAGTATATCATTTGAATGTATCATGAACTCTGACACATTTTAAAACTGTTTCCAACTCTTCATTTGTCAAGTAAATAACAAAGCAGAGTAAAAATGTTACGTTATATGACAATGAACTTTTTGATTCCAAAAACTATATCATATTTCTATTCATCAGATAATTAACCTGAGTTACAGATTTTCGCACCGTCTGATTGAACCGCCACCACCACCAAAATTACGCCTACTTTCCTGTTGATTATTCATTATGGACTGTATTACTATTATTTGTCATTTGGGTTCCTACTGGAACATACGGCTTCACTAGCACGTCTCCATTCCACTCTCTTCTCTGAAAACTTTCAAACCTGCCTCCACAACAACCCACAACCTCTCAGTTCTTCCTCACATGACATCCTCCATATCACCTTCACCTCGGACAACCAACTCATCGTTTCCCATCTCCATTCCACTCGACCACCCAGCCTCGTACGTGATATCCCCAAATAGTCACCTCACTGCATGCCCAATTCATCTCCACTTCCTTACACTGCATATTTATTGAGTCATAGCTTCTTGGTTAGTTCGTCCCCACAACTCCTTGTTGTTTATTCTTATTATTCTGGCCATCTGAGCTTGAGTGAGGAAACAGCGTAGGCGGCAGTTGTTGATGAATATCTGTAGTTTGTTGGAAATGCCTTTCGTGACACTCCAAGTCTCTCAACCATCACATAGAAGCACTGACTGACTTGACTGACATTCGTGCTCAAAATCCGGATGTTGTTCACGCTTTATGCTGAGTGCGGTGCAGTGCGGTGCGGTGCGGTGCGGTGCGGTGCAGTGCAGTGCAGTGCAGTGCAGTAGATCTCCACACTGATTTCAGGTTAATGAAGGAAGGCCTTTCTTGCTGTGTTTCCGATCGTGGCTGGATTTGACGTCCTCGTGTGTGCCTGTGCTGTCACCTGTAGTTGAAACGATGCTGGCTAAATAGGTGAAAGAGACTACTTCCTTTCAGTTTCTCCTATTGCTGGTGATTGGAGCTTGTTGTTGTTGTTGTTGGTGGTGGTGTTGGTTGGGTATCATCATCACCTCTGTCTTCTGTGCGTTCACTTGAAGTCCCGTGTTCGCTGCTCCGACTTCCCTGTCAACTTGTTAGTTTTCGCCTGTAGATCTTCGATTTTTTATGACATTATGCACAAGTCATCGGCCATTATGGACTGACTGGATGATTATGCAGAACCTACTGGCTCTTACCTATTATTGCCCTGATTATTGTTATTGTTGGCATCATCCAGCTGCAATAACCATTTCATCTGATGAAAGTATTCTTCTTCTGGGAGTGAATTTGTTGAAAAATTACATGCTGAAAATTCCATACTGTCATGCATATTATTTGGAATAAAGCGATTATTATTATTGTTATCATAAATATTATTATTATTATGTAATACTGATGTCTTCAATGCATCGTTTACTAAAAACACACACTACTACTCTTCTTGAAAGGAGAGCACTGTTGTATCTGTGTTTAAGTCATCTTCTGGATCATATGTTAAGTTTCAACTCATCGTTATAACTCAACTTCTTTTTTTGAAGACAATGGAGAAATTACTCCTCTTTGTGCTTGAGCCATCACTGAAGGTTTTCAGCGATCCAAAACAATATGCTTACAAATACATGAGAAGTACTTTAGATGCTGTCACTGTCTTGCATCATCATAATATTGTTTCTAATCTAGATAGAGGTGTCGAGTATGTTCATTGTGCTTTCTTGGATCGATTACTTATCAGCCTATTCCTAGACCACTCTTGTTAAATAAGCTTGCCATGGCTGATACTGAGCCGTGGGCTACAAACTGACTGTATTCTTATTCTTCTGAAAAGAAACAATATACTGTCCATAAACGGATACGCTTCATCTTATTGCTTACTGAAGCTGGTGTGCCTAAAGGTGCTGTACTTTCTCCGTTTCTCTCCTCATTCCTTTGGCACAATTTACCTGATTCTGTTGAAACACATTTTATTAAGTATGCTGATAACTTGATGGTGTCTGTTCCAGTCAACTGTCTCACTTAGATTGCTGTGAATTAAATGGATTGTTGTCGGTAGTTGACCAATGAATGAGCTGTCTGTGAAATGGTGTGGAAGTTAGTAAAATCCTTGTGTAAATGTGAGACTGTTAATTTAAGCCTTCGGTGTAAATAAGATGGAGTTGTGTGACCTGGTTAAGTTTGATGACATGTGTTGGAGTAATGATGGTATTTGTGTAGAAAGTGAATTGAGTGTTACGTATGTTGGATTGAGTTTACGTGTCTGATATGTTGTTGACTTTCAAGAATTGATTCGTACATTTTACCTATTCTTGTCTATTGTTCCCTGTTGATGTTTGCTGGTTTGGTGGAGAGGGACTATATGTTATATTGTGTAGGTGTTTGAGAGTGAAGCCATCATCGGGTAGCGTGAGTGGTATGCCTCTGATCGAACTGATTAACACACTGTGGTTGATAGAGATTTAAATTGCAGGAAACAACTAGGTATTGTCATTTTAACTGACACTGAGTATCCAGTTGATTCAGAGGTCTCTCTGCTTGTATTTCTTGTCAGGTAGGATAATAAGAAAGTACATAAGACTGTGTACGGTGATGCAGGTGAGTAGGAGAATTCGACTTTACCTTACGTGGGATGCATATTATGTGAGGTGAAAAGTGTTTTAGATGTTATAATAAAGGAAGATATACATGTGCATATACTACTTTGTTGTTGTTGTTGTTATTGTAATATATGATGCTGAGAATTCCGAATTGGAGCACAAATTGTTTGGAATAAAGTGAATAACAATAATGATAATGATAATAGTATTGATTGGTGAAATGCATGAATTTATGAATACCTTCAAGAGAGTATATTGTTTTGTTGTAGGATATGTAAAGGAAGCCTTGATCAACTTAAGTACTCATCAGTAATCTTGCTATAAGACTGGAAATCGTATCACTCATTGTTACAGGCAGTGACTTCACCAATGAACGTTTTCAACTATGCGTGTCTGAATTATGCACCTTGATTAATCACTGATGAATAATCGGTTTTATGTTGTCTAGTCTTGTGGATCCTGACTAAATATAATGGACCATTTTGTAATATTATCGATGTGTCATAAGGATCATCATTGTCGTTTACTTCAATAAATGTTAATTGATCGGAAGCAGTTAGTTTCGGTTTTTTCCTGTTTCACCTTTAATAAGATGCTTGAAGATAGTTGTTTACCGACTTCTATTCCAATCATACAGATTGATATGAACGAATATATTGATGACTTTATTTACTTGTAGAATTTCATCAGTTACAGAGTCTAATTAGTGATAAAATGGTAGTACTGGTAGAATGGTGGTAAACTGTTCACCGCAGCTTCATCGATTTTGAAAAGGCCGACATTCGACAGCGTCGACCGAGAAGTAATTTGATGGGCAGCTACTTCAACACTACAAAGTACCAGAAACCTTTATAAACCTCATTCAACAGCTATATGAAGAAGCTACATGCCAAGTGATTCACAATGGAAAGCTCAGTGACGCCTATGAAGTGAAGACAGAAGTAAGACAAGGCTGTCTACTATCACCCCATGATCTTCCTGATTGTGGTGGACTGGATCATGCAGCAGACAGGGAGGAGTGAGAAGATAGGCGTACACAATTTGATCGATGAAAAGAGCCTGGAAGATTTGGATTTCATCAATTGTGATTTATGTCTTATGTCACACAAACTCGAAGATGTACAGGCGAAAACCAACAAGTTGACAGAAAAGGCAGGGCAGAGAAGACGGCACTTCCTTCAGGTTAATATAGAAAAGACAGAGGTGATGAAGACACCCAACCAATAACAATAACCACAACAACAAGCACCAGCCACCATCAACGGGAGAAACCTAAAGGAAGTTGTTTCTTTCATCTACCCACCTACCTAGTCAGCATCGTTTCAGCTACAGGCGGCACAGACACCGATGAGCACGTCAAAACCAGGATCGGAATGACAACAAGACAGGCCTTCCTGCATTTATCTGAAGCCAGCGTGCAGATCTACTGCACTTCACTTAGCATGAATAGCAACATCGGGATTTTCAACCTTAGTTCAGTCAAGTTAGTGCTTTTATGTGATGGTTGAGAGACTTGGCGCGTCACTAAAGGCATTTCCAATGAAATACAGACATTCATCAGCAGCTGCCGCCTACGCCCGCTCGATACTGAATATCAGACGGCCAGAAATTAATAAGCAACAAAGAACTTTGGCCTGGTAACGAACCAACTAACCGAGCTATCGTTCAACATGTATGGAGAAGAGGAAAGTGGAGATGGATTGGATTAGGCATACATTGAGCAAACAATTCGGAGACATCATACATCAGGCTCTTGAGTGGAATCCTAATGGGAAATGACGAATTGGGCATCCGAGAATGACATGAAAGAGATCATGTGAGGAAGAAATGAGAGCTTTTACAGAGTCGTGGAGCGAGGTTCAAAAGACTGTAGAGAACAGAGTGGAATAGCGACGTGCTACTGAATCCCTATGTTCCACTAGGAACCTAAGGGACAAATAATGATGATAACTGGTTTATTGGTCAGCCACCTGACTAGCTGGTATACGAACAGTCCTCTCTGTCTTATTGTATACCGATAAAACTTGATTGTATAAGGCAAAAGGTGGGATGTTGTTACAGTTTGGTCACTGATGTACAATTGAATTGCAGAGTGTACAACTTTTAGGTTAGGTGTAGATTGTCAGATAAGGAGTTCACACCAATCAATGGGTTTTTAGCTTGTTAGATATTAATATAACTTAAGTAGGATGAACTAATATTGCTTCAACATGGAATATTGGTCACTAATCTATTAAAGTATTGACTGTTAGCTTTGGAGTCATGTAGAGAGAGGTGTAGGCTAACTGACTGATGATGTCCTTGAGATGTTAACAATCAGTTATTCCATTTTCTGATTTTATACAGCTTTTGTATAAGTTGATACACCCCACAACTTCACTAGAAGTAGGTATACGTGCCAAACGCATGTTATCCTAACATACAATTCTGCTTAAGGCGTTTAGAAGACCATAGACTTTGTCAACATCTTCGTCTAACAGGACATTGTGATTTATGTACTTCAAGTCATCCAGATAACCTCTAAGGAATGGATCAACCCCTGAAGTGAGAAGTAGCTAGGCTTATATAGATTAGTACGTCTGTAACGATGACAAGGTGCATCCCTGGCGAACACCAGTAGTTATCATCAGTTCTAATGACAACTCGTCATTAGCCATTACATGGCTGCATAGCACAACATATCGCAGTCGACAGAGTTAAATGCCACTTTTAGGTCAAGAAACACAGGGAGTGTATAGACCACCTGTGTTTTCAGAATATGTCAGAGGGTAAAAGTATGATTGATGCACCCTTGTTCAAATCTGAAACGTGTTTGGTTTTCTCAAGTTTACTGTTGTTGAGCTGCTGTTTGGCGTGGAATAACATATAGATCCTAAAATTTTGAAGACGATATTAATCAAAGTAATTCGATCTCAGTGGAAAAAACATCACTGACATGTTTCAAACGGGATAAAAACCCACATCCTGAATCCCACTGCTTTACCTATCATTAAGTAGACTTTTCCAAGATATCATAGATTAATGTTCCGTTTTCGTCCAACCACTTTGATACTTTCTGTTCTGAAAAACCTTAAAGATTATTATCATTTCTCGTTAATTAATTGATTTTCATTTACAGATTGGTTCGTTAAAGATTACAAATCATACTTTAGGTATATACAGTCAACTAGAATTTCATCCATCTAATTGGCTTGGACAAGGTTGTAATCGTTTTACTGGTGAATTGTATATCCCATCAAATTTAGACAATTTCATTTCATGTTCTTATACATCATCGATTATTGCTGCCAATAAATCTGATTCATATGTATTGAAGAAAATAATTTTCGGCAATTGGTCTCGTGGTTTCTTCACTGTAGATCCAAATATATGGAATGAACGGGAAGAAATAAGTGAAGTATGCATAAATTGTCTTTTGTATGTTTAATTAATTAAATATATTTCTCAGTATAGAGGCATATTTATGCCTTGTCATTATCATATGAATAAAGTGTGTGTGTGTGTATGTATAGGAGTCATTGATTTCATTTTTGTATGTGAAATGAATTGATGGATTGACGTTGTTGAAATGGTTCAGAATAGAATTGATATATATGGATCTATGAAAGAATAAAAAAAAGTGTCATCCATATATGGAGAGTAGAATTGTATATTGTTAAGATTGTGAACAGCTGATGAGAAAGTGCGAAATGAAATGGATTGATGGTATTCACCTAAAGTTGTTGTTTTTGATTGGTGTAAATGGCAGAGAAAGTTAATGTGAACAATATTGTAACAATGTGATTGCATGTTTCAAGTGAATTTATATTGAATTGAAGAATGAATGAATGAATGAGTGAGGAACTAAAAGAATTGGGATAGTATGGTGGATTGGTGTATAACGAAAGGTGAAGGGGAACAAAGTTTATTAAGTAAGGTAGATGTAGTGTATGTACATGAACAATTTGTTTTGGCACACACACAGGTGATTTCAACTGGCTTGCAGAAATCGTAGTATGCGTCTCTGATTGTTTTGTACATAAAACTTTGAAAGCTGTTTGACCATGAGTTTTGTGACATGTTTCTATGATTATGTTTATGTATGGACGAAGACGGTTGTCTGCCACCTGTGGTTGTCTCAGTTTTACTCTCCATTTAGTTGAATATTCTCCAACAAACCTAAGTACACTGCATCAATGATTACTTGACATTCGATGAATTCGTATGATAGTTGTTGAGTAAAACCCTTGATTGTTGAAGTGAAATAAGAATGTGGTGTAGAGCAGTGGGGTGGAAACCTGACGGTCGTTGTTTCGAGTCCCGTCACGGTCCAAATATTCGTTTCACCTTCAATCGTCATCGCTCGGTATCAATTTATATTAGATCAGATATAACAATGAAAATAATATGGGGGATTGAAATTAACAAAAATATTAAGAAACAGGAAGAGTGATATAGTTTAACCTAATCTTCGTAAGAAATCAAAGTTTAGCAAGCAAGTTATGTGTAGTGTACACGGGCAAATTGTTGTGATATATATATATACAGAAAGGTCGATTGAATTTGCATATGGCTATCACTTCTACAAATCTCAATATATGTCCCCATTTATTTCTATATAATACTATGAAAGTTGTTTGAACATTAGTTTTACAAGATGTTTCTGATAGTTTTCGGATTTCGATTATCAATCTGTAGGATTTTTTTCTATACAATTTTTTATTATTCAAAGTCGGAGAAATCAAGAAAAGGGGACCAGTAATTTATATGCATTATCGATGAGCTAGAAGATGGGGATACGCTGCTTGATCGGGGAAAAGATCCTAGAAGACTTGAATTTTGCCAATGATTTGTGTCTAATGTCACACAAACTTTAAGATCTACGAGTGAAATTCAACAAGTTGACAGAAGAGGCAGGTCAGCGAAGACGGCACTTGAACTGAACGCAGAGAAGACAGAGGTGATGATGATACCCAACCAACACCACCAACAACAACAAGCTCCAATCACCAGCAATAGGAGAAACTGAAAGGAAGTAGTCCCTTTCACCTATTTAGCCAGCATCGTTTCAACTACAGGTGACAGCACAGGCACACACGAGGACGTCAAATCCAGCCACGATCGGAAACACAGCAAGACAGGCCTTCCTTATTAACCTGAAACCAGTGTGGAGATCTACTGCACTGCACTGCACCGCACGCACTGCACCGCACTCAGCATAAAGCGTGAACAACATCCAGATTTTGAACACGAATGTCAGTCAAGTCAGTCAGTGCTTCTATGTGATGGTTGAGAGACTTGGCGTGTCACGAAAGGCATTTCCAACAAACTACAGATATTCATCAACAACTGCCGCCTACGCTGTTTCCTCACTCAAGCTCAGATGGCCAGAATAATAAGAATAAACAACAAGGAGTTGTGGGGACGAACTAGCCAAGAAGCTATGACTCAATAAATATGCAGTGTAAGGAAGTGGAGATGAATTGGGCATGTAGTGAGGTGACTATTTGGGGATATCACGTACGAGGCTGGGTGGTCGAGTGGAATGGAGATGGGAAACGATGAGTTGGTTGTCCGAGGTGAAGGTGATATGGAGGATGTCATGTGAGGAAGAACTGAGAGGTTGTGGGTTGTTGTGGAGGCAGGTTTGGAAGTTTTCAGAGAAGAGAGTGGAATGGAGACGTGCTAGTGAAGACCTATGTTTCACTAGGAACCCAAGGCACAAATAATAATTATAAAATCGATGAATTATTGTCCAATCTATTGGTTAATGATAAACGTAACTCTAACTTGCTTTATGATAATTCTGATTGGTTTAAAAGTATTTTTCTGGGTCATGTAACTGAGATAAAGGCAGATGATACACCCTTTTTAGTGTCATCGTTAAAATGATAAGTTGACTGTTTAGAGTTTAATCTAATGCATAGATCCTTTTAGCCGATTCAACTTCCTTTCCTTTATTCCTCCAACTGATGTCAGTCTACGATGAATAGCAACTTGAAATAATTCAACTTAAATTGACCACTAATTGTTAAATTTTCAACAAATATAACTTCATAATCATTGTATTACTGAACTTACTCTTAAGTACGAAATGTTAAATTCTAACAAAAATCGCATTATTTTATGGATAAACTCATCAGATTGATATCACGAAGTTCTAATAGGAAGTTGTGACTTGTAGGATTAACCAGTAAGAAAAGGAACGTATGTCAACTGAAGACCTTGGGTAATAGTCGCGGTATATTGTGAATTAAAAGAAGTATAAAACTGTGAACCACTGAATGCCGATTTAATGGGGCTGAATGGTTAACGCATTCATTGTGAAACCTGAAGGTTCTGAGTTCGACTCCTATCCGGGTTGGAGGTGCATACTAAATTGATGAGTTCCATACTAGGATGAAATAGCTTTTTAATACTCTCAGGTTTTCAATATTTCTCGAATTGATGTCAATCTGTGATGAATACTACCTCTAAATTGAAAAATCTCCATTCATCTCAAAAATTTATCAAACATAAGTAAATAACCAACTCGCTTCTGATTGGTTGTTCGTTACAAGGTCACATAAATGCATACACGGAAATTTCTTAACCTTTTGCTATCCTGGCATCAACCATATTTTTGTTTTCATATAAGCACAACTTAGAGGGCAATTAGAAACACTATGCCATGCATCACCTGTGAAATATGATATTTGTTCTTCTTCGTTGTTATACTAGTTTCAATTGGCATATGGTCGCCATTCTGGATGCTTCGATGTTCTCTGAATACTTATTCTTATGATGAACTTGGTTGTAGGTATCAGCGGGATCCAGGGAGCATGTTTCATTCTTTCTTGAACTCATCAATAAGTGATGTTCGCATTGAAGAGACTCGGACCTTCTTTTTTTTTTACCTCCTTACTTATTCATCGAATATTCTGTATCTCTTTTATTGATCTGTTTATATTCCAGCTACAAAAGGTGAATAATAGTAGTGATAATACTGAATCGTTGAACAATTCAGAAGGTAATGATACACCTAATGATTATGGATTTGAAATACCATTGAATGGGCAACATTGTTTATGGTGTGCAAAACCGAAACCATCCAACTCATTGGAATATTATAGTTTTACTGAGTATGCAATTGGTTTAAATGAATTGAATACAATACAGAATTCTTTGAATTATAATGATCAAAGTTGTACAGTAAATACTACTACTACTACTACTACTACTACTACTACTACTACTACTACTACTACTACTACTACTACTACTATCAATGATAATATCTTAAATTGTATAGATAAAATGAATGAAATTCCATGTGAAAAAAATTCAGTTTATGGAAAATTTCTGCCTCCAACAGATTCTAGATATCGTCCAGATTTACGATTATTTGAAATGGGTCATATTGGTAAGGTCTAACTAACTGTGTGTGTGTGTGTGTGTGTGTGTGTGTGTGTGTGTGTGTGTGTGTGTAATTTTGAATGGGCGCGTTTTTTTGTTATTGTTTAAATAAGCACATTGAACACTTGTTAGTCTTCACATTGGTATTCAACTTCAATTTATATCAGGTGGAAAGGTAATGGGTTTACACTGCTGAGGAATCCTGTTCATTGTTCCTAGGTGGTTCAGCAGTTCTCTTCAATTGGTGTCATCCCATGATGAATACCCAAATTGAATTACCCGACAGTTTTGTCTTGGAACAAAGCAAAAACGGGTACATTTTATTTCACAGGTTGTCATCAGCTGCAAACAGGCTACATTTAAAAGGAAGTGCTCATAGTAGTCATATTGACATTGCTTGATCAACCTCACCATCGTTATAGAATCAAGTCTTCTGTGTTCTGGATGATCTCTACACATCCAGTCATCGTGGTAGCTTTCACACCATGCACCACTATTGGTTGTCTCTGAAGAAAGTTACCGAAAGTGAACAATTGGGCAGTTATTTATCTCAAAGTCGCTTCTGGAAGGTTCTTCTTTCTTGACTCAAAACATCTCCAATCTGTAGAAGGGTCATCATTATTATTTTAAAATATCTAAACGACCAACAATTTCCGGAATAATACTTGATATAATCAAAAAACATACTGGCAACGAAAGGTCTATAACGAAATTCTGAAAGTAAAAGAATATCAGAATGGAAAATCCTCCCTAATTTTGAAAATATGCCTTCAAAGTGCACACATAGTTACGCAGTATTTTCTGTCAATCTTATTCAAACCTTGACCGACGATTCCCTATTCATTCATCCTCAGTAGACAATAAATTCAATGTTTGGCATCCTTATATCAAAAATTAACGTCACTAGCTGCTTAATCTCAAGATTCGAATATCTTTCCATTCTTATCTGTGGAATACTTGTGTGAAAGTGAGCTTGAAAGTCAACAAAGAAAAATTACGAGTTAAATATGAACTACTCATTAGTAGTATGAAATTGTAGTGTAAACATTAGGTGCTTGAGTCCAGAAAATAATTTTGTTTACAGCACAGCATCAGTTTACACGTCGTTAAACATTTTTTAAATGCACATTAACTGTGGTATTGTTGAACAACACGGACAAAGGATAACAGGATTATTGAACTGCCTAATGACTCCAGGGTCATGGTAACTTTTCGCCGTTTCAAAGCTTATTGAGAAGACTGTAGTGTAACCTTTTTGTCACAAACAAGGTAAATCAGGTGGTATAGTTGAATTTCTGTATATAGTTATGCGCATATAGACTTTCCATTGCCTTGCTAGACAGTGATACCATCAGGACTCACTTCAGTATGAAGTGATCTGTCAATATCTCTCCATGAGAGAATTAGTTACTTGCCCTGACGAAGTGGTCCGTGATTCGTTCTTTTCTTTAATTGTCACGTCATTGACTGACTGCATAGATTCTCCTGTTCACTGTTCTTCTGCTTCACCTATCAACTTTCTGTCTTCTATCATCTTTCTCATTGCTTGATAGATTGGGTCTGTGTCTATCTATACATCTGCTGATTGACTGACTGACTGACTCAGCTGAGCTCAGCTGACCTGACCTGAATCCCAAGCTTCTAGCAATTCTCTGATGATATTCTTTGTCTTTCCTCTCTCCACTCAACATTCAACATTTCTACATTGTCAGAATTCAATCCATTTTTCCATAGTCATTATCCAAGTGGATTGAGTGATGAGAGATGAAATGTCGTGTGTGATGTAGACGAAGGTGAAGGTGGGCGACCACTTTGTCCAATGTAGCCTTGACTACAGTTATTCTAGTTGATTTTGTAAATGATATTCGCTTTGTCTTATTTAGCTTGGAGGGGATTTTTGATTTATGAGCTACACGAATTCCAAGTGGTCTCAGTAATCTCATCATGATATCTGATAGGGGCTTTATGTAGGATAGGATGATGTGTTTGTTGATTTCTGTCGATGACTTTGTAGTTGACGATGTATGGGATAGGCATCTTCTGATAAGGATGATGATGGATGATGGACATCAAGTACTTTTTTGTTTTTCCATGAAGTTGTTGTACTGTGGTGCAGTGTGTTCTCGCTCTTCTGAATAGAGTCTGCAGGCAATTAATTTTGTGTGTTGTTGCATTGTTGTAACTGTAGTTGAGGATTTGATCAGTCAGTCAGTGTATGTTAGCTTCCTTTACACTTGGGTTTCCAGCTTTCTAGTATTTGTCCTACTGACTAAAACATCCAGGAATGGTAGTTGGTTGTCCAACTACTTCTTCATTGTGAATTTGATGTCATTGAAAATGTTGTTAATCAAACTGTGAATGTTTTCTATATCATCCTTTTAATGATGACAAAAGTATCGTCCACATAACGAATCCAAATTTTTGGTTTTTAATACAGATAGGATGATGGCTTCCAGTCTCCGTATCATTGGTTCTGCTATTATTCTGGCTATCGGTGATCCCATTAGAGTGTCTTTCATATGTTTGTATATCTTGTCATTGAATTGGAAGTATGTTGTCAGGCATAGGTCGATGAGTTCCATCAGACTTGAACACTTAAATTTTATGCCTTCTGAAAGGTTTTTTCTTCATAGAGCAGAAGGGACATAGTTTCGTTTGCAAATTGGAGTTCGATGACTGTGTATAGTACTGTGACATCGTCGTTTTATATATTAATGCTTTTGATCTTTTCTAAGAATTCCATTGATGATTTGATGGATGTCATCAGGGCAAGCTAAGAAATCACTTATCCAGAGATATTGCTACCTCACTTCATACTGAAGTCAGTGCTTATGATATCGTCTGGCAAGACGATGAAAACGTGTCCATGATTCAACAACCTATCTCAAATAACACAATACAACCAACCATATGAACCTTTTTCTATCGTAGTCCAACTTCCCTAAGCACTTCCCTACCACATCGAGGTAGGTGGTGGCTCAGTATACATAGTAATAGATCCACGCCATCTCAGTTGATTGAGGCTCACAACCTCGTCAATCATCTTGCCTGTCTTGCGTAGTACTTTTTACCTGACCTAAACATCGCTTGCACAGTGATTCAACCAAACGCGAACAAGTCTTCGAAGCAACCTGTGATCAAAGCTATGCAACAGCTTTGTGTCGTCTACGCAACGGACATTTACTAACCTACTGTTTTCACAACAGACTTAATGTCACCCCAGGTTTCCTCAGGGTTGAGCATTCCTGTCATGTTCAGATAAGTGCTTGGTTATCTCTCCCCTAAATGTGGACTTGATTTTGTCATCTTCCAATCCACCATAGACAGGTTTTACTATCGCTTGTTTTCTGCGCCCAGTAAAGAGCAGAAATACACGAGCTGATGCTAGCGTGTTATAACGGTTCTGACTGGTACTCCAAAAAGAGCGACAATCCTACACTGGTCCTCTTCAACGATTGTTTATAGTAGTGTGATCTATCTTTGTCCATCGTTAGTTTCATGTCAATGGCAGTCATGTGATACAGTGTCTCTCCTTATGCCTAAAGTTAGTGCTGGCCAGAAACAAATGATTGTTGGAGCAAAATTTTAACAGATGATCACCATTTTCGGTTCGGTCCAATTGACTCAACTTCCATGCTTGAGTGTTAAAGTCGTTTGGCGTTATGACTTCCGAGACACAGCACATATCCATGGCTAGAGATTCCAGGATTCTTTTGAGCGATACTTGCTATCAGATTTGGCATAGATTTCGAGCGTTGAAAGATGCTGCATGAAATCGGTGGGGAGGGGTCATCGGAGACTAGGAGTGTGGTATCGATAGCTTTGATCGTTAAGTATGGTTTCGAAGTGAGAGGTTGGGTAAAGCGCAAGAAATTTAATCTTAGTATCAGGAGACGAAAGCAAACTTGAGGGAGGTAAATTATGTTTGGTTGGGTCTTGTGTACTACTGGAAGCGTGCGAGCGGTTGACACTTCCCGTCTGCTCACACCGTGGAAGGCTATTTTTTCTTGAAAGAGAAGAAGGTTTTTTGAACCTCAGAGCTTAGGAGCTATCTGATGGAGACCGGTCACGTACAGCCTATTTGATACCACTACAACTGGGGGGGGGATGTAGTTGGACTTACATTATGTGGTTCTGGATTACCATTGATGACTAATCTAGACCATTATAATGCATCATCCGATTGTTTAAGAATATTTTAGGGGTAACTGTTGTTTGTCTAATCACTATTCAACAGACCTTACTAGTGTGATAGGACCTCGAGGGAACAAGCACTCTACCAACTTTGCTCGTTGGCTCATCGTGATATACAAATCCGACAACTACGTCAAGGTAGCAGTTATCGGCGAGAAAGTCAGAGATATCACTAAGGATAGTTCATGATAGACTCTACTGAATATTTTATTTGTACCTTTGTGAAATCACCATTTCCTGTTCTCATTTAGTGTTTTATGATGAACTGTGTCTAACTGGGGCGATGTAAATGCATGCTACATGTTCAGGTTATTAGAATAGGTAAGCATGAACTAGCCATGGGATGGTAACTGGTGCCATACACTCTATTCCTCAGCATTAATCGAATTCCACGAACAGATATAACAAGACAATGAAGCCAAGAGTGAAGCAAATCTCTCTAAGGATGACTGAAATATCCTACTCATTAATATATGTCGTTGGTTTGAGCTTCCAGATAGCTAGTGATTCAGTTATATCCAACTTATCCTATCTTATTCTCTTTGAGTGGTTTAATCGAAGTCTGGAGACGATTTCGAAATTGTTCTCAAAAACGGCTGAAGGATCTGAATTCACAAGATATTCTGTTATTGACCTGAAGATGCATTTCTGTTCTCCTTTACTGACTAAACTTCTAAGTTATCGTAGAATTTGCAGAAAGGCTTAGTGATTTGACAACCAGTACGACAGAAACTTGGATGAATATAATGATCACCTATGAAAAACAAATCAAGTCTGATTATTAGGTTGGAAGCTTGGGAGGGCTGGACACTTGTTTCGTCCTAGTGTGGGACTCCCCAGCGGTGCGCACCCATCATCCCACCCCGCAAGAAATCGAACCCAGATGCTTCAGGTTCTGCGGCCAACACGTTACAATTGAGCTAGCCACAATGTTGGGATCCAATGCTCCATGTCTCCAACTTCTGTCAGCTTACGATATAGCGCGACCCCCATCCGTGACCGGGTCATAGATGCGCCCTTCTGAGGAGCCCTATACTATGACAGAACAGCTGTTCAGTGCTGCCAGGTTTCCAGTCTTCCTCCAGCTGGTGTCAGCCCATAATGGATACCAACTTGGATTCAAAAATCTCCACAAACCCCCCAAATTGAATTAATCTAGTGCGCACTGGTGACTAGCTTCGGCAAGTAATTTCCGAAGTTGCAGTGGAGCCAACCAAGTCGAAGATGAGGACAGTTACTCACCGAAGTTTGATTATTCATTGTCTTGGTGCGTGAAAAAAATGTAGTACTAAATCCAACTTTGTGATTTATGTATGCATACACGGGATGTTCCACCAATCCTTCTGTCCATTTTATTATTTTCTCCAATGATTGTTTGTTTCTTTTAGATGAAGCGGCCTCAGAAAAACTCCGTCTAGAAGAGAAACAGCGTCATACACGTAAGCTGTTAAGTCAACGGAAGAATAGCAGTGGTTTCAGTTGGTCCCTTTCAAGTGGTCATAAAACAGGTAGAGATTCGTGTTCCGTTACGCCCAATTCCACTAGTGGTAGTGGTCAGACAATAAAAGGCGGTATCACAAATAATCCCTTCAGAAGAACTGTCTCATCTAACTCAACTGTAACTAATCAAGATGATTCGCATTGTGTTACAACCACTTTTTCATCTGATACTACTGATGTGAATAACAGTAGTCCTATTGTTGGCCCGGTCTGGTTCATTGCATCCGTTAATCCATTCACTAAGCAAGAGGAATGGATATTTACGGGAGAATATTGGAGTAGAGATTGGAGAAAGTGTCCAGATTTATATTGATGAGTCGACTATTTCTTTTTTTTTACGTAAACACATAAACACACTTGACTACAAAAAGCTTTTCCTAAACTCACACCAATAAACCATCTCCTTGCCTCTGAAGTTTACTTCTAATATTATCCTTTTGTAAAAACAAATAAGCAATTTTTCACTCTCCTTATTTCTTAAAGGTAATAAAAATCATCTTTGTTTTCTTTCTCTTGGTACAGTATGGAGATTTAGGCTTCTTTTTCCAATTCCTTTATGCTAATCACGTGCATAAACACGACAAAGGGGTTTTATTTTCTCTCTGGATTCTCTTCTCAGAGATTATCATCATTATTCCCTTGTTGGTTTTTCTCTCATAGCATTTGCTATCTGTACTTCTCACTTCATTTCCCCCTTGCCCACCTTTTGACAGTTCTTATTGATCTTATTTTCCTGATTCTCTTTTGAAAATTCGTCCGCTTATTTTCAATGTTTTTCACCATTTTATAAAGTCTTGATTATCTCGTCTCTCTTGTCTTTCCTTTTTTGTTGATAAAAATATCCCTAACCATGATTTATGCTGTAGAAAGTACCCTCTAATTGATTACTTTCAGACATTATGCTTAATATGACTGACTTGCTTGTTGTAGTGACTGATTTCAGTAATTTCATCGGACTATAATTGATTCTTCTCTTCTTTTCTCATTATTATGGCGAAAAAACACCAGGAGTTAAACGGTTTTTCTGCTTATTTTTATGATTAGGCGTCGTTCCAGCGTTGTCGGTACGAATATATGACACTGGATATGAAGGACGAAACAAAGCGCTTGTTTATTGGACAATTCAATAAGAAAAAAACGCCAGCCAATCATATTTGCGACGCATCTACGCCCCCGCGCTAACGTCAACCAATCGGGTTAAAGTGAAGACAGGTTGTTATAAACCATGGTTTATAGCATTTTTATTCAAACAGTTCCACGCCTAGAAATCTGTTGAGATAATCTTATTTTCGACTGCCTGAGATTTTGAAGAGAACTCTGTATAAAATAAAATAATTTTCATTTTGATTATCTGAGATATAGGTTGGGTTTGGCAGACTAGTTTTCATACAGGGTGATGACTGAAGGTGAAATGAGACTTTGGATCGCGGCTAGTATAAATACTGGTCTGCTAAACCACGATCACTACCTCACCTAGTCAAAATGATAATCAATATGATGCTCCTCCTGTCTCTAGTTCAGTTAGATTTGGATGAGAGGTCCTGACCAGGCAATCAATGTGGGTACGGTCAAGCGATAGGAACACATCAAGAATTCACATGGTAGTCGGACAAAACTTATGATGATTGAAGTGAAATGAAAATCTGGTGAGCAGATGGACCTCGTAAATCAGCTGGTAAAGCATTAAGCCAGAAATACGGTAGTCGCTGGTTCGAATCCCATTGCGGTTCAGATAACCATTTCACCTCCAACCATCACCCAAAATAAAGTAAATTTATCATACTTTTTTTCAAGCAAAGTAAGATCAAAGATACGTAAAGTATTTGGTGTTAGACAAAAAAATATTCCGCGCTGACTTATATGGTGTGATTGATTGGGATATAATAGTTGGCAGTTGTTGAAACATTCCGGTCATCTGTTCACCCATCCAAAAAGCACAATTTGCAATTGAGCTTAAGGACATCTGATCACAATTTGATGATTTGTGCACGCAAATATCCATACCGTAAAGACAATACTTCGATTATGAAAGTTCCACGGATTCACAACCGATAAGGGCTGATCTGACAAAGCTAAAATGCGTGAATTTGTCTGCAGAAGAGACAGAATAAAAACGGAAACTACTTCTCAGCTAACTGTTAAATGGTTCCAGCCGACTTAATGTAATTCATAGGCTTGCATCTGGGAACAACTAATCGAACAATGGGACCAACATACTTAAAAGAAGGTTGGTAAAGGTATCAAAGAACGACAAAAGGAATTGAGAGAGGAATCAGTATGATATGGGAGGAAGGTCGGTAGGCACCTTAATATTTAGGAATTTATTAATTGGTATGAATAAAGTGCTAAAGGAGGTTACAATAAAGGTAGTCATCGTTTTGACAACTCGCTTTCGCAGCTGTGCATTCTAAAACAAAACAACAGAATGTTCGAGACAAGTTTTTATAATACAAGACATCCTCCTGGTACTTACTATAAAACAATAAGTTATATCTGATGAAAATAAAGTGACCGAGTGGCAAAGTCAATGAAGAACTTCGTACACAGGTGCGTGGACTCAAGCTCCCACACTTCTCAGTAGTATACAAAGGACAAGTGGATAGAAAAAGACTGGTAACAAAGTAAAGTTGTGTGAGAGAGTAAATAATCCGGAGGTAATGGTTAGTGTAAATATTCAACCTTAAGAAGATATCAAGGAATTAATACGTCTCTGACACTGTGGATGGCCGATCTTTTCCAGTCACCAAACCCTGACTCTTTTCATCATTCGGACCCGGGCCAGGGAGTCTAAACCTCTCCACACCACTCACAGCAACAGTAACAGACTTTGTCGATTGGTGACACGCCTCGGTATCACCACTCTGTACTGTCCTCCAGCTTCCCTAACATGGCATGTCGAAGTGGGTGGTGACTCAGCACGCACAGCATGCGTCCTAGCTACCTCGATGAAGGTCTCCAACCTTGTCTACTAACTGGCCTTCCATGACTCGTACACTTCACCCTATCTTAAAGCTGCTCATACGGTGATTCCACCAAACGCAGCCAATGCTATGAAGGCACCTGTGATCGAAATCCTGAAATCCCATTGCATCTTCTACTTTTAAAGTCCATGTCTCAAAGCCGTATAACAGGAGAGAAAGGACTGCGGAGTAGTACACTTGTCCTTTGACAGATAATCGGATATCTCATCAGGCGTCATCCCAGTTATCGCAAGCTGGAAAGCGCCAAAACAGGCTGCTGTATCTGCGCTGAGATTTCATGAGCAACCAGCATGTTCGGGCTGGTGCTACTTTAAAAGTAAGCAAAGCGACCGGCACATTTTACCGCTTAACTCCCTATAATTAAACCTGGAGTACTTGCAGTAGATCGGTCTCGAAGCATCATTTTATGTCTGAAGGGTGCAAAGCGCGTGCCAAACGTACTGAGATTTGTGCTCAACACGTTCAGAAGACCCTGGATTTTCCCAGCGTCTCCACCTAGTAGGACCATGTTGTCTTCCATCTCCGAATCAGCCAGACGTCCGCCAGAATATAGGGCAATCCTCTTGGAGTTAGGAGTACTTAAGGTTTTGTCTATTAGCACGTCTATAACGAAATTAAATAGGAGCAGTAACAATGGACATCCCTAGGGAACACTGCTGTTTATCGTCTGTTTTTGACGACAACTCTCCTTAAGCCATGGTAAGTCCGCATCAGTTCCAGCAGAAAGCTTTGATAGGGGTTATAAACTTTCTCGGTACCCAGTCGACAGTCAGATACTGCACAACACCTCACCGTCGACGGAGTCAAATGTCGGCTTCAGGTCGAGAAACATAGTATGTTTGAGCAGCCGGGGGTACCCACGTATTCTTGAGCCTGCACCAGTATGAAAATCCGATCGATACACCCTCACTCAGGTCTGAAAGCTGCCTGGTTCCTTCAAGTTTGTCGTTTTCGTGCTCAGCTCAAACTTCGAATGATTATAGACCTGAGAACCGTGGGCACAATATCAGTAACTCCCATAGGTTGTCACAAACAGATTTCTCCTCTGTCTTATAGACTGGAATGATCAGTAAAGTACACCAGTCTTGCGGAACAACTTTAGGTTTCCATACACCACTTAGTGCTTCCGTCCACTTAACTGGCGATTTTCTGCCTATATCCTTGAAGACTTCAGATGGTAAGCTGTCGGGTCCTGCTACTTTCCATCGTTTCAAGTTCTATGCAGCTTTCTCAACTTCCAGGACGTTCAGAGCACCAACATTTACGTTTCCTTCAGATTCGGGGTGGATGTTTGACAACTAAAGCTTTGCAGAGAGCCAACGAACTGTTCTCTGAAGTGTTCTTCCCAGCCTTCGAGTCACCTGCCCTGAGATTTCATCAGCATCCTATCCAGTTACGTAATGATTTCAACCGCCATCGTATTGTTCTTTCTTGTATCCTTCGGGTGTGGGTTACCAATTGTCTTTGCCACCGTTTCCACAGCAGACTTAAAACCACTCCAACTTTCCTCTCTTTGAGCATTATTGGCACGTTCAGATGAATGCCTAGCGAACTCTTCTGTATATGAGTAATTCATGTCCTTATTTTCCGGTCGACCACAGATGAGTCTCACTACCAGTAAGGCGCAGACATACACTAGCCGGTACTATAGCATGATCGGAGTCCAAAATGGTACTGCAGAAAGAGCAGCATCCCTCCACTGGTACAAAATCCTCAGTTGCTTGCAAACAAAATGAAACTAGATAAGACGAAATGAGTCGATTCAGAAATCAAATCAAACCAAGCAACTGTTTATGCCACGTTGATCCACCTCTTTAGCACCAAAATAATATTGGGTTTGAAATAAATAAATTGGAGTTTAGGATATTTAAACAAAGGCTGACTAATCTTTAACGGCATCAACGGGGAACCTTAGTCCTATAAGTTTGTTTTAGCGTGTAGGCATCCGCCTGTCGACATTCGCCATCTTTGCATCTTCTTTGGGCTGGCCGGCAGTAACTAGCGCAACCCCCACTCAACAGATCAGTTAGGTATTCCTCCCTGAAATGATACCTTTTGCTAGAAAAAAGTGCATTGTTCGTACACATTTTTCATTGGCAGAAAGAAACGCCAGCCCAAAAGTTAAGTGCTTTTTCTGATTGGCCAACTGTGTGATAAGGTTTTTCAATATGGTTTTCTCTACCACATGGCGACATGAGACAAAAATTGAGGTGTGAATGATTCCGCCTTGGCAGCTGATGACTTGTGATGTCGATCTTCATCTGGACTCCTTCTTATAAGGAGATAAATGGGGTATAGTAAATAGCGTCCACTACGGCTTCAAATAAGCACC